AGAGAGAGAGAGAGAGAGCGGTTTGTAAGGGACAAGAGAACTGGACTTCAAACAAATTAAAGAATAACAATAATTAACACTTCGTATATTAAGAACTGATAATGACTTTTTACTTCCTAAGAAGAAGGAAAGTTATAAACCCTTGCTGACTACCGCAGTAAAGAGAATAAAGAAAATGGAATAATAGCAGGCAACTTGTCATGATCATAAATGTTACTGGGGGGGTCTCGTGGCTGAGAGCTTAAGGGGGTTTTCACCTCTCATTCAAAGATCCCGGGTTCGAATCCGGGAGGCGACGGAAAAATTTTCTTCTCTAAAATTGTCTCCTTTCACCTTCTTTCCTGCTCTCTAGAAATGTTCTGTCATCTGCTTTCGTCTGCACTTTCTGCCCCCACCCCCTCATCTCCTTAGCCCCCTCCTCTGGGCTCCAGACTCTTTCTGCAGCTTTTATACTGCTTCTCCTTGGCTCTTTCTTACTGCTGTCTTTCAGTCACACCCCTGGTCTTAGGTATGTAAGATTTACGCCTAGGCTTCTCGGACAAGGGCGAAAAATCTCGGAGATCCCGTGCGCAAGTTCAGCACGTTAAAGATTCCTTGGTTGTCCAAAATCGATAAGAGTAGGCTTCGGCAGCCACCTGGGCAAAATTCAAAATTTCCTACCAACTGAAAAGGTTTCGTTGTGTGTCCCGCGCGCTCATTATATGACCTTGTGCAAAATACGAGCGCCGAAAAACACTTACAATAAAATAAAATGTTACAATCGCTGCAGATGGCAAAGACTTTCCCTCTCTTAAAGCGGTGTGCTTATCTGCCTACTGAACATGTGATAAGTTGGTAAAACTTTCTAATGACCTCGCTAGTGACCTCCAAGCGCTGTTGTTTTTTTCAGAAGAATTTTCCACAAACCGAGCACTCGTGGTCTGTAAGGCCAGTGTCACTGTAAGATTAAAATGGCTGTTAATCGTATACAGATTTAATTCATTTTAAATACACTAACTCTGTGACCCAGGAACGGGGAGGAGGGGTGCTCGGGGGAAAAAGGGTGGGAGGGGGTGCAATCGTTTTTATGATTGATAGCATTCAAGCTCGAGACTTTTCAAGAGCGATGTCAGCTTTGTTGTATCGTATTAAAATTTTTCGTCTGTCCTAAATTTTTCTGTCCACATTTCTTTTAGCCCGGTACCGAGTGCGCGCGCTCTCTCTCTCTCTCTCTCTCTCTCT